TTTATGAATAAATCTAATCACTTTATATCTGGAAGTCAAGATAATTCAATCATAATATGGTCGATGAATCAAAACAATTAATGGATTAACTAATAGAAATTAAATGGACATTGTGGAACAATATTTTGTTTAATTTTGAATAATAATGAAGATTTGATCATTTCAGGTAGTAGTGATAAGACTATTAAATTTTGGATAAAGTAGAATCAATAATGGCTATGTTAATAAACTATCACAGATCATACTAGTAGTGTATATGGATTAAGTATAAATTAACAATAGAATAAAGTGATTTCATGTGGATGTGATGGATAAATATTAATAATAGAACAATCATAATAGGATTCTAAATGGATTGTAATCTAAAAGATAAAGGTTGAAACATATGGTAGAAGAATATGCTTTATAAATGATAATGTATTCATATTTTAACCAAATTGTAAAGAATAAATGCATGTTTATGAAATGAATAATACTAATAAATAGTATTTAAAGACAAAAGATATTCTTGTTAAAGGGGGTGTAAGTGATGATTATTGTTTATTTCCTTAATAGCATATAAAATCAAAATGCTTGGTTGTAAATAAAAATGGAAAGTATGTGAATTTGATAAGGACAAAGGAAAATGGAGAGTTTAAAACTGAATAATCCATTGAATTTGGACATTAAAATTTATTTGGATGTATGAGTGATGATGGGTAGTATTTAATTACTTGGGATTATAGTTCAAAAGAAATTCAGATTAGAAAATACAATGAAATATGAATAACACATAAATATTAGATATAATAATTTATAATTATCTATTTAATTCTTCAGTATATTTAATAAAGGTATTGTAATATTATGTTACAATATTAAATCTCTTCTTTGATAAAGTGAATTTGAAAAATTGATGTTATTAATTGTTATTATTTATGAAAATTGTGTTTAATTTTCTAAGAGTTTTGTTTTTTAAACTTTTCCAAATTTAATAAAAAGTAAATTGAAAAATAGTAATTATTATTAAGATAAGAAGGTTAAATAGTAACAAAAGTGATTGAAAGAAAAAATAAGGCAAATTGTTAGGTGTATTTAGATTGACTCATTTAAATTTTAAACAATATATCCAAATTATAATTTGAAGAGAAATAGGTATCAATTAATTTAAATTAGTTTTTAACGTCAAAAGATTGATTAATATTCATTACAAATGTATTTGGGTATAATTATACAAACTTCTCCAATTTTACTTTATTTTATAATTTTAATTAAAAATTTACAAGAGTTATTTAGTCATATGAGTTATCTTATCAATAAATAAAATCAAATATATAGAGGTACATAATTAATTGCAAACAGTCAAAACTTAATTCAACTAATATAAATAATGTACATTGAATCTTGATGAAATCATTAAAATTGAAATGATATTTAAAAATTGATATGAACTAAGAAAAAGGTAGAATTTGATCTACTTTATAGAATATTAATATAACTCCTTTTTAGTCTTTTTAATACGGAGTCAGGAATTAAAATATATTTTCTATAGAATTAGTAGTTTGATTCAATATATGTACTCATAAGATAAATTAGTTAATAACGAGCGTTATCTAAAATGAAGTTAGTTGATTGAACGTTTCATAAAATGAATAATCTAAGACAAACTTAAAGAGTTTTAATATTTATACCAAATAAGATTCTTTTTTAATTATTAAAGTAATTTAAGGTATTAATGGATTATCAGTTATTTTGCTACAAAAATAAGGTTATGTAATAAACAAAAAATTAGGATGAAACTGATAGTTTAACTATAGAAGCTATTGATTAAAAGTTCTAATATTTTAAATTAGTTTCTGTTACTCAAGCTTTTTTAACATATTTTATTGTTTCAAATATAAATCTGCATTCTAATTAAATTTAGAGATAAATTAAAATTTAACTATATTTTGAAGCTAAAAAATGATGTTAATACATTTTTAAATTAACAATAATTATTTTAAATATCATGCTGACTTCTCTATTAATCTAAGATAATAACTTTGATACTTTTTCTGAAATGTTACACAAATTAATGCTATTTTTAATGATGGGCATCTTTTGAAATGAAAAAACACTGCTTTTATTTGAGTCATATAATTTAAATTTCTACCCATACATGATATTTAGATTACCATCGAAACCTTTAATTTAATTGTTTATTGTTATTCTAAAGAATGACCTTTTGGATCTCTTAAACAATTTTCCATTA